TGTTTACAAGCGAACAAAAGCATTTTGGTGAGAATTTTCCAGAAAAAAAGTTATTCGTGATGGAATTCAAGCGTGATAGTGTAATTTCTTTATATTTGACTGGAAAACCACAAGGGGCTTTCGTTAGAGCACTCCAGCATTTAAATGTGAATAAATCTTTTGTGTCTCATAACATCGCTCGTTACCGGTAGCGTAGCCCGCCCGACGTCAAGGAAGTGGACGGAAGAAAACAGCAACATCAGCAGAAATGGTTTGAAAAGAAAAGAAGCGACTTGATCGAAACTTGCGTCGCAGTGGCCGAAAATGGCTCGTGAGCTGAACATATCGCAATATTCCATTCGGTAAATATTGAAAAATGAGCTTGGGGTAAAGCCATTGAGATTTCAAAAAGTGCAAGAACTTACACCGCATCAGAAAGAAAATAGCCTCAAAAGAGCTAAAGAGTTTCTTCGCTTGGCCGAAAGTGGTGAACTGCCGAATTTGGGTTTCTCCGATGATTAAACATTCGTTGTCCAGTGGTTTGCAAACAAACAAAATGATAGTGTTTACTTGCCAAAGAGGTTGAAAATGTGCACCTTCGGTTGGCCACCAGAACTCAAGCGCCGGCCATGGTGATGGTGTTGACCGCCATTACAATATATGGTTGCTCTCCGCTCGTATTAATCGACATCAGAATAAATGCCGAATATTATCTCGGAAATATTCTGAAGGGTGTATTAAAGATTTGGGCACGCAAACATATTGGCCGCAGACCTTGGACATTCCAACAGGATTCAACACCATCGCACTCAGCACGCGCCACCCAAGAATGTTAACAAAATGAGGATCCTCGCTTCATTTCCAGCGCACAATGACCATCAAAATCTCCGGATACCAATGGTGGCACTAAAAAAATACCAAAGTGTGGATCACCTCAAGCAAGCGCTTCGCCGGGAATGGGTCAAAATTCCGCAGATCAACATTCGGGCAGCGTGTGCTGTTTTTATTGGCCGTTTGAAGGCCATAATTCGTACCAAAGGTGACCAATTCGAACAAATCTAAACTTATTCTAAGATTTGATGCTATTTCCGACATTTTTGCTGTCATTCAATAAAATTTAGAAAAAAATGTAAAAATTATGGTGTTTTTTTGTCTCATCCTGTATATGTTTCATACAATTTGGTGTCTAAATCCCTCAAATTCGTAATATGCAATCTACAAAAATTATATTTGGTACCAGATATTACATAGAGCTCAGAAGTGTCATTGCCAATATTCATAGAGATCGGTTCAGATTTGCCATTGCCAAATTTCATAGAGATCTGTTCAGATTTGAATATATCTGCCAAATACATAGCTATCCGATTTTACGATTACTGTGCACTAAATATGTAATATCTGCCCAAATGGGCAGATTTCAAAATAAGGAATTAGGATCCTGTTTTGTAAGCAGGTGCTGGTGCCACATGTAATAGAGAATCGTTGTTTAGAAATATTTTTAAAGACTGTCTGACCTTGAATGGTGGTTTTTTAATATTTTGTAGGAATCAAGAATTTTTAAAATTATTTTCAATGATTTTCTGGCCGAGAATCGTACATTTTAAAAGTTTCCTAGCTTTTTATATAGTTTCAAGTACTTTCTCGTTGAGAAATTTCAGAGGCTTCCCTTCTTTTATAAATCACTATTTTTGAAATATTTTACAAACACTGCAATGATATACGCAAATTGCGGATTTTTAAAATTATCTTTTCAGGTTTTTGGCAAATTATAATGAATGCTACCTTCAAGCAAATTTACACGTTTTTGATTCCTACACGTTTTCGGTAGTCAAAACTAACATGTAATACGTTCTCCATATAACGATTGTGGGCATACAACTCATATCTTATCTATGGCTTCTTTAAATTTGTGAATTAAAATGAAAAAATGATTATCTATTATTTCTGCGAATTGTTTATTTTTATATTTTTTCCAACAGCAAAAAATTGATGGATAACCTAATAATGTCTGTCTGCTATTTTTGTTTTTAATCTCAAATCATTTAAACTACGCCCACCTATCTGTTCATCTGTGGAATTCACTTTAGCTTCCGAAAGAATTGAAGTGCCTAGAAAAGTCTGAAGTATTGAAAATTCCAGCAAAAATTCTGATTAGCAAATAATGTGCACAAAAGATTCTATTTTTAGAAAATTAGAGTATTTATTATTATTATTTTTACGCATTATTTATAATACTGACGCAGAGATCCATGGTCCAATTTGTGATATAGTTCCCATTGAAGAGTATATCGGTCCACTGTATTTTGACGTTTAAAGCCAAATTTTGTATTGGATTGTTAAAAAAATCATTAATTAGAGATCGAAATGGATACTATCTCCTGTGGCAGAATTTTGTGTAAATATATTTTGCTTTTCCTATAGCCCCCATATCCAATACCTCCGGCTTTTCTATATTTTTAATATATATTTCAACGAAAGTGTTAAAAATTTGACATTTGATGTTCACTGTAGATACTAACCACTTTAGTAGACCGTCTAGCACCCCACATAAGCATACATCCCGATATTCGTCATTTTGATAATTTCTGCCACATTTATCAACGGAATTTATAAAAATTTGGTATTTAGAGTTTATAATCGTTTCTACCTCCCGTGGAATAAGATTATTCATGTTTTCCTGTAGCCTTCAAATAATAGAACATTCGGTATGTTGACCATTTTAAACACATTTTATATCGGATTTATTCAAAATATAAAATGAGATAAAAATACAGCAACAAAGTCAAACGCCATAATTTTTATTTTTTTTTTTTAATTTTATTGAATGAAAGCAAAAAATGTCAGAATTAGCATCAGATTTTAGAATAAGTTTAGATTTGTTCGAATTGGTCACCTTTGGCACAAATTATGGCCAACGAAACCGTCACACGCTACCCGAATGTTGCTCTGCGGTATTTTGGCCCATTCCCGGCCAAGCGCTGCTTGAGGTGATCGACACTTTGATATTTTTATATTTTAGTGCCAACCTTGCTTTCCAAAATACTCCAGACACAATAGTCCAACGGATTGGTAATGGGAGATTTTGGTGGACATTGTGCGCTGGAAATGAAGCGAGGAACCTCACTTTGTAACAATTTTTGGTGGCGCGTGCAGAGTCCTGTTGGAATGTCCAAGGTGTGCGGACAAAATATTTCCATGCCCAAGGGTTTAATACACCCTCCAGAATATTTTCGCCAGGTCTTCGTATAGGCCCCATATATCAGTACCTCCCTATATTCGGTATTTTGACGAGTTTAGGTACAATACTCACCGAAATTGTTTGAGATATCGTATATGACGTTAGTAACGGATGCTATAGCCTGTGATAGAAAATTGTCTATGCTGGTTCAGGTCTTCGCACAGCTCCGATATAACGGTACCTCCCTAAGATATTTTGATGATTTTAGCTACATTATTCACCGTTTATTTCATGTTTCGAATTTGAATATGGTAATGGCTAATGGCAAACCATGCATATGTAGGTCCACGTCGTATAGACCCCAATATAACGGGTATATTCGGTATTTTTAAAATTTGAATAGAATTTTTTAAGGATTTTATTTTTTGAAAATTTCGAAATTCGGCAGTTCACCACTTTCGGCAAAGCGAAGCAACTCTTTAGCTCTTTTGAGTCTATCTTCATTCTGTTGCGGTGTAAATTCTTGCACTTTTTTGGAATTTCAATGACTTTACCCCGAGCTCATTTTTCAATATTTGCCGAATGGAATATTGCGATATGTGCTCTAACGATAGCCACTTGTGGTTTTCCAGCCAAATATAAGGAAATTACACACTATCTTCTCACTGAAATGCTTTTCTACGCTAGTAAACAATATAATGAGCTGTCACTGGAATAATTTTGGAGGCTGTCGGAAGAATGGCTTAGAAATGACAGCAGTCTGAGCAGTCTGGTTGCAGTTTTTTTCATCTCACCCTGTATATTTGTATTGGGTGAAGGGATAATGATAATATTCTCAAATTTGATATTTACATTATTGATGGTATCTGTATTTGAGATATGGCGATGGTTTAGAAGCGTGTCCTATATTTGTAGGAAAAGTACTAAATGGTACTAAATTTGGTATTGGGTGAAAATGATAGGGCTGGAATCCTCAAATTTGATATTCGGGTCTCTGTTTGTATCTGGAATTAAGATATAGAGGTGGGTTTGGAAATGTGTACTATATTTGTACAAAGTACTAAATGGTACTAGTTTTGGAGCACTATTAGTGTCTAGGATGGAGAGATGTGGATTATTTTGGATATGTGTACTACATGTTACTAAATTTGGTATTGGGCAGAGGGCTAGAGCTGAAATTCTGAAATTTTGCTATTGAGGTTGCTTTTGATTTCTAGGGTTTCATAGGGAGACACTGAAATATTTTTGGCTCGACTAGAACATTTTGCCTATTTTTTCTCACCCCCTTTAAAATTCAGGTCACAGAGCCATAAGTAAAATTTTTCAACTTTATATTGAAGTAGTATTGAATCCTTCACTAAGAATGACACCTGTTTTTTCAATTAAGTATTGTTTGATTCCAAAAAGATATGAATCGTTAAAACTTTGTTTTGATTAAATAAATCTGCAATGAAAAATTCCCCACAGAAAATAAAAACAAAAGTTGAAGTGCTTAACATTTTGAATTTCCACCTGCCATCAGACGTCATAAATTTGCTATCCCTCTCTTGGAACACTAACAGTAGTTAAGGCCAAGTTACTTTTGTTGTATAGCCCACAAAAAATAAGTTGGCTTTATTTTGCAATATGGCTATTCCAATTTTAATCATATAAGTGATGAGATTTTCCAATATAATAATAAAATAGATAAAATAGTGAATTTGGTAGGCTTGTCGTGTTGTTGTCTGTTTTGTTTTAATAATAACCAGAAGACGTGTGTCGACTGCCTTTTCTTCACTGATAAGACATTGAAAGAAAAGAGTACTCCGATAAGCCGGTGAGAGTATAAAAGTATGGCCAGCAAAGGGTCATGACAGCAGTTGTATTCGTACAGTAGCAACATGAAATTCTTAATTGTCTTTGCCTTGGCCCTGGCCACCGCCTCCGCTGGCGAAATTTACCAACGCGACCTTGTCGTGCCCGTCATTGAGGGTGAGGGTCGCATTACCAATGGCAACACTGCCTCGGTTGGTCAATTCCCCTATCAAGTTGGTCTTTCCTTGAGAGTTAGTGCCTTGTCCTCGGCCTGGTGTGGTGGTTCCTTGATTGGCAACAACTGGGTTTTGACTGCTGCTCACTGTACCGATGGGTAAGTTATTTAGCCTTAGATAAGTGATTGTATCTACAACCATTTTTCACCCTTGCAGTATCTCCTCCGTCACTGTCTACTTGGGCGCCACCGTCCGTACCTCCGCCGAAGTTACCTACACCGTTTCCAGCAACGACATCATCATCCACTCTGGCTGGAACGCAAACACCTTGAAGAACGACATCTCCTTGATCCGCATCCCTGCCGTTACCTATACCAGCAAGATCCAAGCCGTCAAAATCCCCGCCATTGCCAGCTCTTACTCCACCTATGCCGGTGATTATGCCATCGCTTCCGGTTGGGGCCGTATCTCGGACTCTGCCACCGGTGTTACCAACAACTTGCAATGGGCCCGCATGCAAATCACCACCAACTCTGTGTGTGCCGCCACCTATGGTACCTCCATTGTTACTGCCTCCAATATTTGCGTTACCACCGATGGTGGTGTCTCTACCTGCAACGGTGATTCTGGCGGCCCATTGGTTTTGGAATCCTCCAAGGTCCAAGTTGGTTTGACTTCTTTCGGCGCTGCTGCCGGTTGCGCCTTGGGTTACCCAGCTGCTTTCACCCGTTTGACCAGCTACTTGGATTGGATCAAGGCCAACACTGGCATCGCTTATTAAATAGACACTCGATTCGAAATAAATTAGATCCCTAATATTCTAAAAAAATTATTTTAATATTTGGTGTGGGATAAAGGAAACAAAAAAATATTTATCGAAACTTACCAAATTACAGCCACTACTGTAAAAATTATATTAAGCTTCCAACTTCATCGGAGTCCCAAAAAACCAGGTACAACATGGATACACGCTCTCTCCCTCTCATTGTTCGGAGAATATCAAATCAGTAAAAATAATAGCCGGTAAATAATAATAACAGGATAAAAAATTGCGGGATAAAAAAATTTCGGGCTTCAACAATTAAATATAATTGTATTTATTTTAGCAGATACGCACCTAAAATTTGCTAGGGATAGTTCCATTTAATTATTCTTTACAAACCACTAAGCAAAAACTGTAAACGGAGAGGGAAAAATCTTTAAAGAAATAGGCGAATATAGGACAAGCAATAGAGTGTCAACTTTTGGAATAAAACAAGTAAAAAGGCTGTAAGTTCGGTAGGGCCTAACCTTGAATACCCTCCACCATTTGGAATGAATTTGGTAATTTTCAAAAAAAAAAAATCCGTTAAAAATTCTGTTAAAATCTTAGCCGTTATATTATATGGGGGCTCTAATAAGAAGTGGGCCTGCACAGACAATCCTCTGTTATAGGCTGCAATATCCATTAAGAACTTCAAATACCAAATTTGAAACAATTCCGGTGAATAATGTCGATGAAATCATCAAAGCTCCAAATATAGGGAGGTACCATTATATGTGGGCTATACCAAAACGTTGACATACATGGCCCAATTTTCAATACCAAAAGTCCTGCAGACATACTATACATTTGAGTAAAATTTTATCAACCTACTTCATTTCGTTCGGAAGCTAGAGTGATTTCCACAGACGGACGGACATTGCTAAATCGACACAGAATTTCATGTTGATCAAGAATATATATATATACTCTGTGGGGTCTAAAATGTATATTTCGAGGTGTTACAAACGGAATGACAAACTTAATATACCCTCCGTACTATGGTGGAGGGTATAAAGTCTCAAATCCACTTTTCATAATCGATTTGACAATTATGGGTTTTGGTTAATTTCTCATTTTTTTATCAGCGCCAAAAAGTATGCAACGAATTATGGCTTTCTATATTTCTGCTACACTGTGCGACAAAATTAAATTTTTTTCAATAATCTCAAGAAATCTGTACTAAATTATAAAACTAGAGCTAAATATATAAAACATATGTATCGGCGTTTTGAAAGCTTACATCGCAAAGTAACCAAAATAGAGGGGGTAAGCTCCCTCCATCCTAAACATTTTTTTAAATATTCGAATTAGGATTGCTTCGAATCCTTGCTTTTTAGGAATATAGTGTCTTCAGCAATATTGCTGATAAAATCACGAGCATTATTTTGTGTGGAAATTGTTAACCCTCAAGTGAGCCAACAAAGGGGACTTTTTGGTCCCTTTTCGAAGATATGTTTAAAAACCAGCTTTAAACGGAATCGCAGCAAGTCAAAATATTCTGCAGAATTATTTGTCATAAAATTTTACTATGGGTCCCAGAAGACATCGAAAGTCTAAACTTTATCTAAACACCAGGATATCTAAAAATTCAAAACACATTTTATGGTTAAAGTCTTACGTAATGAGAGTTTAGGGAAAATTCGCATACAAAGCATTAGTTTAGGAGGATGAGGTCAAACACCAAAATATTTTTCATCTAATTTCACGAATTTCAAGTCAAGAAAATAAATCTCTATTTCCATTACATAACTAGAAAATATTTGAATACATATTGCCTAAAAGAAAACATTTTTTTCCTGTCCATTTTTCTTTGACCTTTTTCGAACAGATGCACGAGACAAAATGTGACAAAGGAAGATATATTCTGGATAACATTTCAATATAAATCTCAAAATAAACCATACATCTAGGTGCAATAGTTTTATGGAAGATTATATTCAAAATTTACACAGGGTGAGAAAAAAAACTGCAACAAAGTCAAACGCCATAATTTTTACATTTTTTTTAATTTTATTGAATTAAATCAAAAAATGTCGGAAATACCATAAAGTTTTAGAATTAGTTTAGATTTGTTGGAATTTTTCACTTCTGGCACAAGTTATGGCCAATGAAAACGTCACTCGCTGCCCGAATGTTGCTCTGCGGTATTTTGGCCCATTCCCGGCGAAGCGCTTGCTTGATGTGATCGACACTTTGGTATTTTTAGTGCCAATCTTGCTTTCCAAAATACTCCAGACGCAATAGTCCAACGGATTGATATCCGGAGATTTTGGTGGCGAGGAACCTCATCTGTAACCATTCTTGGGCGGCGCGTGCTGGGTCCTGTTGAAATGTCCAAGATCTGCGGCCAAAATGTTTGCGTGCCCAAGGCTTTAATACACCCTCCAGAATATTTTCGCTATAATATTCAGCATTTATTCTGATGCCACGGTCGATTAATACGAGCAGAGAGCGACAATCGGCTGTTATGGCGGCCCACACCATCACCATGACCTTGATGGAGCTTGAGTTCTGGTGGCCAACCGAAGGTACACATTTTCAGCTGACCTCTTTGGGAAGTAACACGATAATTTTGTTTGTTTACAAACTGCTGGACATGCTGGTGGAATGTTTTTTCATCGGGGGGAAAACCAAATTCGGCGGTTCACTACTTTCGGCCAAGCGAAGCAACTCTTTAGGTCCTTTGAGTCTATTTTCTTTCTGTTGCGGTGTAAGTTGCCGAATGGAATATTGCGATGATATGATGTTCAGCTCACGAGCCATTTTTCGGCCAATGCGTCGCGGTTTTCGATCAAGTCGCTTCTGTACTTTTCGAACCATTTCTGCTGATGTTGCTGTTTTCTTCCGTCCCCTTCTTGACGTCGGGCTACGTTGCCAGTATCATGGAGCGAGACACAAAATATGTATTTAAATGCTGGAGTGCTCTAACGAAAGCCCCTTGTGGTTTTCCAGCCAAATATAAAGAAATTACACTATCACGCTTGGATTCCATCACGAATAACTTTTTTTCTGGAAAATTCTCACTAAAATGCTTTTGTACGCGTGTAAACAATATAATGAGCTGCCACTGGAATAATTTTAACAGCTGTCGGATGAGTGGCTTAGAAATGACAGCAGTCTGAAGTTGGTTGCAGTTTTTTCATCTCATCCTGTATATCAGTCTGAGATCACATACGAATTGGTCAATATTGGCCAACTGCTTCGGAACCTCCCCCATAAAAGTTCAACTGTTGGAATAATCCTAACTCAAGGCTGGGGGTATTCATCAGTCGGCAAAACCGACTGATACTATTTGATTCGTTTATTTAAATTTCCATATCAAATGTGATATGGAATCATGGTACAATAAAAAGGTAAGGTAGAGCTACCAGCTGATTACAATTTTTTCCTGAGTCTGCTCGAATTCTACCAATTCTATTGTTATGAAAAATAAAAACAAAATATTTTCAAAATTAATGATTGGAAGAAACGTGGATTTTGGGGCGCGCTTTGAAGATATTAACCAGTTTAGCCATGGAATTGAAAGATTGGACGCTCTGGATCATATTTTTGAAATAAAATCCAGGCACTTCTTTCGCTTTATTTAAGTCATTTCAAAAATGAGGAAAAGTTTGAAATAAATGAAAACAATTTCTTGCATATAATTTTGAATAACTCTGACAGGAAGCGCCAATAGCCTCAGAGCTGTATTTCTATAGTTTTACGAAGCTGTTCTACCTCTTTATTGTACCATGAAGACTAACGCCCAAATCCATTTCAAATAAAAACATTATTTTCTTATTTTATTTTTTCATTGTTTTTATTTTATTTTTAATCATTTCATACACATTGTCATTCATCAGCATCAGAGGATGATTTTCTTTTCTCTTTTCTTTCATTTTCACATGTTTTTTTTCATTTTATTTTTATATAATAATTGCAGCATTGTGTAAATTGTTCTCGTTCAATTATTTAGTATTATTTAATAATTCTTCTTTTTTCTTTTAAATACAGAATATATTGTTGTTATTTGAATATATAATTATTATTTAATTAATTATTTTTTTATTAATAATATTTATGTAAAAGGATGTGTGGTTATGTGTGTGTGTTTGTCTGTGAATGTGGGCGTTTTTTTTCGGTATCAATTGATGTTGATTATATCTCTGAATTGTAGTTGTTTTTTTTTTTTTTTTTTTTTCAAATTTTGTATATATAAATATTTAGTAATTATTATTTTATTTATTTTTCTCAATTTTTAATGTTTGTGGGTTGTTAGTTCCAGAGAAAGTATATTTTTTTAAATAATTTGAAAATAGAACATAGCAAAATTATTGTTAAAAGAAAAAGTATTACAAATATACAAAATATTTAGTTGTAGATATACATATAGATAATAATAATAAAAGATAGATTTTTTGTTTTATTTATATATAAAGTCATGTGTATATATATAAAAGAATAAAGGCAACATATTTCTGGTTGTTTAATGCTAAGGAAATAAAAATTGCGAAATAATTAAGCTAATTAATAAAACGAAATGCCAGTATCCAGCTAAGCATTGGGAGGGGAATTTTTTTCTCTTCATAATTTTAGTTTTCTTTTTTCTTTCATTTTTTTTGGAAAAGAAATAGTTTTAAAATTAATTTGTTGGCGTTTGTTTTAGATTAAATTTTAAGCATATCAAAATTTAATATATTTTTAGCATTAGCATTAGATATCAAATTATAACTAGAAACTAGTATAAGGTGTTTTGTTGTTATCGATTTTTTTTTCTTATTTTTTTAAAGTCAAACAACAAAGACTAATGGTTTTTTTTGCAAATCAATGACTTAAAACTTAATATATATTTTTGTAATTTTAAACTTAACTACATACATTACACACAAACAAAGGAGGGCTATTTAAAAAAAAAGTTATATCAAAGCAAAGAAAAATATACTTAAAAAACACAACACACGTTTTATACATTTTTGGGAGAAATATATTTGAAATTGTATTAAAGGGGTCTGGTTAAAAATTGAAAATAAAAACATAGAAATCACTACAAAAGCCAATCGTCTTTCAAGAAATAGCAAAGGACTTAGTTTTTGTAATACATGACTTTTTTGAAAATAGCAACTATTGTATTTGGATTTAGTTAAGTGATGGATTTGAACAAATTCTTCACTAGGCATTTGTTCAAAGATCACTTTTTTATCAAACTTCCAAGATATCCTTACTAAATGGAATTGAAATTTGGATGATGAAGTCCATGGCCTTTTTATTAAAAATTTATAAAAATTGTAAGAGTACATTTCCCTTCTTCGGCAAAATATAAAGAACTATATAATAAACAAGTAAAAAAAGCTGTAAGTTCGGCCGGGCCGAACTTTTAACACCCTTCACCATTTGGAACGAATTTGGCAATTCTCAAAAAAAAAAAAAAATAAATAAATAAAAACCGTTAAAAATTCTGTTAAAAACTTAAAAATTCTGAATATATCTATTACATTAGGGTCTAAACGACGACATGGACCTGCATAGGTAACAAATGCGAAACTTAAAAAAAAATCGGTGAATAATGTCGCTTAAATCATCAAAATACCGAATATCAGGAGATACCGTTATATGGCGGCTATACGAAGACCTGGACCTGCATAGACAATTTCTGTCATAGGCTCTAACATCCATTTCGAACATCAAATACCAAATTTGAAAGAACTCCAGTGATTAATGTCGCTAAAATCAACAAAGTACCGAATATCGGGAGGTACCATTATATGGTGGCTATACGAAGGCGTGGACCTACATGGGCCATTTTCTGTCTTAAGCCGTAGCATCTATTACGAACTTTAAGTATTGATTTTGAAACAATTTCGGTAAAAAATGTCGCTAGAAGCATCAAAATACCGCATATCGGGAGGTACCGTTACAAGGGGGCTATATGAAGACGTGGACCTACATGACCCATTTTCAATATCAAAAGTCCTGCAGACATAATATACATTTGAGTAAAATTTACTCAAATCTACTTCAATCTACTTCAATTCGTTCGGAAGCTAGAGTGATTTCCACAGACGGACGGACATCGCTAATTCGACATAGAATTTTATGCTGATCAAGAATATATATATACTGTGTGGGGTCTAAAATGTATATTTCGAGGTGTTACAAACGAAATGACAAACATGATATAACCTCCTTATTATGGTGGAGGGTATAATAATAGATTTTATGGAATTGATTTTTTTAAGGATCAGCTGTTCAGCAATTTACAATATCAAAATGTTTCTAAAAATTTCTGCATGACTGGCAGTGGCTATTGTCAAACTAAAGCCATAAATGTACGCATTTTATATACGCTCTGTTCCAAAACCTGCCGGAATCAAAAAAATTTACTACGATATCCCTTTCTTCCTTCCTTCCTTCCTTATGATATTGAAAAACTTATAAAAACTAGTTGGTTCTTGGAACAGAGCAGGGGTTTAATTTTTGTTCCATGAAAATGTGAAATGAAACCTTTTATTAAGGAAAAAAAAATATCAAATGAAAACTTTGTAATAGCATGTTTCCATTGGAAACCGAACAACGTTGTTCGCTCTCAGAATTATGTACACGAATTAACCCGTTCATACGGCACGATTCGTAATTCATAGTAAAATAATTCCTTTTTTTCAAAATTTTGTTTGTTGATTTTAATGGGAATTTATACTAAAATACATTAAATTCTCACTAATATGGATAGAAGAAATGATTATTTTTCTCCCAAAGATTTATTAAAACATTAATTTTATAATTTTCATTCACGTTTCCAACTTGTTGTGTAAATGTTGACATTTTGAACATATTTTTGTATTTTTCTATTTTTAAATTCTGCTGGAGAGACACTTGTCAAACATTTTTTCTGCCGATACAAATATTTTGAAAATATTACCTCTTTTGTTTCCTGTTTTCTGTGGTAATTTCAACTTGTGGACAAAATGCGTACCTCGGATGAGAGAGAAAACAAAATTTACTTTCGTTTGAATGTACATACGCTATTCTACATTGTAGTTTTCATTCATAAATTTCAGTCTTCCCAAAATTTTTCAAAATTTCATTAAATTTTTCTATTTTCAATTTTTAAATGTCATAATTAATTTTTTCGATAAATGCTCTCATTTGTTAGGGATGGGACATATTTTTTCGTTGTTCTGAGAGTGATTTTATTTGAACAATGTACAAATATGAGTGTTCGCTCAGGAAATTTTGTGTGAAGAATTAAGTAGTTTTTTCATAGTTAAGGGTCAAACAACGAATAGAGTGCGAATCAAGTGCAGTGGAAACGCCACATAAAGGAAATTCACTTCATATTTTCATGGAATCAGAATCCAGTCCCAGTACTGATTTTACAAAATCGATATAAATTTAGGCAAAGAAACAGGAAAAACATAATCTAAAATTTATTACCTTACAGAAGTATGTTTTTGATTCATTTTATATTGTATATTTTAAAAATTTGTGTTACTGTTTATTTTTTTTTTTTTTTCATTATTTCTTTCAATATTATCTTCTTTTAGTTTGATTTGTTTTGGTTAAAGTTCTCTTGTGCACAGTTTTTATTTTGTAAAACGTTTTTTTTTAATTTCTATGTGTGGATTGATTCTATATAGTTTCAGGTCAATATTGATATATGCATTAGTTAGTTAAAGAGAAAGAGAGAGAGAGTGGGTGTAGATTGAAACGTTACATTTTGTTCTTTTCTTTGATGAAAGCTTTTCAGTTTTGCTTTTTATTTCACAAATATTTTCTTCCTGTTTTCTTGTTATTTATGTTTCATAGACAATAGAACTTAGTGTATATGTGAAAAGAAATCAAAAATAAGAAAAGAAAAATAAATAAAAGAGGGAAATAACGAAAAATGAAATATATCGAAAATAAAAATAGAATCCTGTATTAAAGACCAGTGGTTTATGTAAGGGTTTTGAGTAGAAACAAATATGAAATAGAAAGTATTTATATTCAATGAATATATAGACGACGGAATGCTCTTACCGCTTATCCTGGCAAAATTTGGATCGGTAGGAGGGAAAATATTGAAGTCACTCAAATTTAAAAAGTCAAAAATATCAAAAACATTAGGATATTTTTCAGTTGGAACCTAGTCCATAACAAAAAGTAGTCAAATCAATCAAGTCCAATCGCTAAAAAAACGAAAAAATGTGTTTTCGAGGTCGAGTTGGCCCACGGGCTGAATCAGTATATTGACTATGCAAAAACGTGCTGAAAACAAACATTCCTTTCTCTATACATTCTTTAGTCTATGACTGTTGTAGTAACATGCTATCTCATTATCATTAAATTAGGGAATATTCCTCGATACAATTAGGGTTCAAGTCCTTGAAATTGCAACTAAAAGAAAGAGTGATTGAGAAGAGGAAGGGCAAATTAAAAATTCCACATGAATCCGAAGTTCAATTATTTGCATTATTCAGATTTTTTCTCCGCGCTTGGGAGCTCATAACAAGGTGATTCTATAAATGTGGATAAGCTTTCAAACCGGGCAATAATTTTGCCACAATGACAAAATCTGAACCAAATTTAAAAAAAAAACCTAATTCAGGTTCATTTTCTTGAAATTTTAACTAAAAGAATGAATCATTGAGAAGAATCAGTTAAAAGTTCCTCATGAATTCGAAGTTCAATTATTTGCAATAATCTGAGTCTTCTTTTATACGACCTTAGGAGCTTAGAACCATGACGCAATAATAAGGCGATCCTGTAAAATTTTCAAAACAAATTTAATGTCAAAATTTGTTTGCACTTTTTTGACTTTAAATTGAGACAGTTGACCACAAAGACAAAACACGAACCAAAATCAAAAAAAAAAAAAAAAAAACACTTGTTAATCCATCTTCAATTTATCTGCCATTGCAGACTAGAATTTCTACACAAAAAAAAATGGCATAAATCATGGAAAACTAGTCAATTTTATAAATTTTATTAAACCGAAAAATTACTTTAAGAAATTTTTTCTCAAAAATTTTAAAGAATTTACACCTGATCAGCAATGAAAATAAATGAATATCACTAAAGTATTAAATCAAATTAAATGCAATCTTACATATTCTTTTTGAATTAAATCAATTTAAAAAAATGGGAATCGGAATGTTTGCAAAACGGGCAAAAGTTCCAAATAGTGTTCATAATAAAAAATTATGGCTTATAGTTCTTGTGCTTTACAGCATATTCGATGATTCTGGCTTTAAGGTCAAACATTTAAAGATTGCATTTTTGATTTGAAATTTTGTTGAAATGTTGCTTCAAGACAAAGGGTCGTTTCTCTCGATTACACAGGTATTTATCTTTAACTAATATCTTCCATATACTCTCCTATATAGGCATTTTCAAACTTATTTGAGATGACAAATTTATCAGAAATAATTTTCACTTTTTTAAATAGAATCGGCTGCATAAAAATTCGGACTATAAATTATATTTTTCAACGTTTTTTGTTCGAATTTGTCCGAAACGATTATAATTTAGATTAGCATGGAACTTGTCCATGAAAAAAACTTATAAAGCTATGAAATTTTCAGTCATACTTTCTAGACACAAACTTCATACATAAAAACAGGGAAAGTATTTACAAATCCAGGAATCAATTTTTGTATTCGATATCGAAAACATTTCGATTGAAATTAATTTTAGTTCCTTTTTTGTATGAGAATACGAAAGTGAATTCGAAAGAAAAAAAAACAACTCCATGGCCTCAATTCTCGACAAAAAAACAACCTACACAAGGATATATTTTTTTTTTAATTTTAAATTTTATCTAATTAAAAATAATATTCCTGGTGCTGGATTCTTGTTCTATGAAAATGTAAAATATAAAATAATTTTAAATTTTAATTTTATTTAAATTTAAATTTAATTTTAAAAAATTTATAAAGGAAATATTTTTAATTTCATATTTTCATAGAACAAGAATACAGCCCCAGGAATATTACTTTTAATTAAATAAAAATTCAAAATTAAAAAAATACACAAGGAATATATTGTTTTGGCGAGTTCACTTTCGAATCTTCATAAAAAAACAGGAAATTCATATATAAATTCTATTTTAATTAAAAATAAAAAATTCGGCCGAAAGATCTAAATTTCAAATAATGAAGCTAAACATTAGTTGTTTTTTATCAACATTTCAATTTTTGTCAATCTATGATTGGGCATATACAAATTCATTCCGATTAAAATTTTTCTCAATATCACATTCAAGAATTTGGCCCTTGAATTTTCGTTCAATTTTTTTCGATGCAAATCATAGCATTTTTGGGAGCATTATACGCAAATGTTGATGAACGTTTGTTAAGAAGGATATGGGATAATCCCAATATAAAAATTGTCTGGCATTGATCCTAACAGATAAATATATAAAAAAATTCACATCCATTTATGAAAGCGGGAGGATTGATGTTTTTTTATATTTTACTAAAAGGTAGTGAACAATTTTATACTATTCCAGTCCTTTCGAATTGAAAACTGCAAAATATATATTTTGCAAAGGTTTTTAAACTCAACAAAAATACACTTCTGATATTATTTAATAAACCACTGTTTGTTAAATTCATATATGTCGGTTGTTAGGGAGGAGCAAAATTTTAATGCTTTACACAAAAGAAACAATAAATACTGCAAAAATTGCATTTGTTTTAAAGAGAGGAAGAAGATGAACACCGCCAATTTTGGTCATGGAAATTAAGCATATTTTCTTTGCATTTTTTTTTTTTTTTTTTTTTGGAAAACACCAAAAATTAAATTATTTAGAAAAAGAAAAAAAAAAAACAATTTTAAAAATATACAACTTAAGCGCGTAAAAATTATTATTATTTATAGTTCTATTTTTTATGTTTACATCATAGACATGTAAAATAATATTTATATTTATTTATATATTTAAAAAATAAACAAAGTCTATTAATATTGTTTTTTTTTCGTGGTACAAACTATTTCTTTGTAATTAATTAAAATAAAAATAATTATAATAATAATAAAAAAAAAAAAATAACTGCAAAACTAAAAAAAGAATACATTATATGGTTGAATGATAATGATAAAATAAAACGGAAAATTGTTGATTTTTTGTTTCATTTTTTTCTGGCTTTACTCAAATTATAATTTTCATCCGGTTATAGTAAGTTTGTTGTTGAATTTTTTTCTTTTTTTCTTTTATGTTTAATTTGTATATGTATTTATATTTTTTGTCGCATTTAGCAAATTAGTAGTTAATGTTTGTTTTCTTTTGTTTCTTTAGATAGACTGTGTGGTGTGTGGTGGTTGGGGACTTAAGCATATAGTGTACATTCAATATAACTTGTGGGCACGAAACCTTCATCCCAGCCGTTTGTGTTGTTAATGCGACGCACACGCGTCCAACCATCACCCTGATCAATTTCAATCACTTGTAGTTCTTCGCCCTCATTCATGGGTATGCTACCCTCACTTGTGGCTATAGAAGAAATCGCAAATGATTATTTAAGAATTAAAATCAAAAATATAACAAAAGCAACTTTACCTTCGAAGGGATATAAAGCTCGACACGTTCCCAGCGGCTGTAGGGGTTCCATTTCTGTTTCATAATAGGCATCCTCACCAATTGCATTTTCATGGGTACTACCATGACCGGATCCCGGTAACGAGGTGTGTGATGTACCCAATCCACTTTCAGGACTTGCCGAACTGCTAAATTTCATCATGCAAAGAAACAGAATGTGTAGGGAAATCGTTGAAGTATTTTCATGTTTTTTTTTTTATTTGATTAAAGACAAATATGTATTTAAAGAATGTGGAATTAGTATTTATGTGTACTGGTGTTTGAGTAATTTGTTAAAAATTACATGTAAAGTATTTTTGCTAATCTATTCTTCGAATGTAAACAAAAATTTTTAATTCGTACAATTCTATTTGAATTTGGGGGGGAGGGTTCTGAAATTTTCTTCTCTTCATTATTTCCACTGGGAGAAATTGTGGCTTTTTAAAATAATGTTTGAAAATTGTAAGAGGCTTTTAAATCCGAACAAGGACATTGATTTGTAAATTTATAAATTGACAAATTGCAAACGTAGGCTAATGGATCAAAAGACAAGTAAATGCCCTCAAAGAAGACTAAAAGTATGTCGTGAAATTTTGCTTCAATTAGGCCTTAAAATATTTAGCCAAAGAAACCGATTTTTTTTTATTTGGGAATCTGACCTACTGACCGATTACTATCAAATCCCCTTGGAAATTTCCACAACCTAGACTAGTTATTTAAAAGTGAAATTATAAGAAAAAAATGCAGGGAATTTGGAAGAGTGATATTTTTTTATAAATTAAAATAATTGTCATTATTTTACGATTCATTCTAAGTATACAAATTGCTTTTATTCGGATACTCTCAATGAAATTTGATTTAGAATATTTTTTCCTTTGACACTATCCCCCAAAAATGAAGTATTAAGGGAGATATTGACTTAGACTGGAAACGTGTTAAATCGGCAATAAAAAAAAAAAAACTAAAAACATAATTTCTTCTTGTATTCCAAATTCAATTTTCTTAAAAACTATTACACCTAGATATATGATTTATTCTAAGATTCTGAGTGAAATTTTGTGTAGAACACTTCCTTCCTTGACACTTTCCCCACAAAATGAAATATTACGTGAGATTTTGACTCAAAATGGAAACATGTTGAATTTGCAGTAAAAACGTAAATACGTGATTTGTATTGAAAAATTCAAGTTACTAACGAAATTTTCTTAAAAACTATTGTACCTAGATACATGGTTTATTCTGAGATTTATAAAAAAATATGTTTAGAATATTCCGTCTTTTAACTCTTTCTGTCTAAAACGAAATTTTATGATACTTTCATGCATCAACTCGAATAAGGTCCTAAGAAAAAAGTGATCAAAAATTAAGATATATTTTCGCTTTTTTTTGGCAACTTTGGTGCGAATATTTTCTTGTTATATAATGGAAATAGAGATTTCTTTCCTTTAATAATTTATAGTGCAATTTGATGAAGAATATTTTTGTCCTTGACGCGATTCTTCTAAAGTGGTGCTTTGTCGGAGAATTTTGCATAAACTTACATGAAGTACGGCTTTGACCCTAAAAAGTGTTTTTGATATTTATTAGTTCGTAGCATTTAGGTTAGATTTAAACTTTTAATGTTTTGTGGAAGCTGTAATAGAATTTTCTGACATATAAATTTTTAGAATATTTTGACATGCGACGATGCCGTTTAAAGGGAGTTTTTAACGATATTTTTATTTTTACTAGAAATATATGAATACAATGAATTGATGGAATATATTCCCCCAAAATTTAATCCCAATTTGTAAATTAAAAAAAAATATAATCAACTACTACCCGAATTTCAAATAGAATGATAATTCATGAACGATAAACTGATTAAATTCATTTCGATAAGTTCTAAATAATACTCTGTTCCAGGACCTGCAAGAGTTTAAAATTGTTACTACTATAACCAACTTGGCAAAACTTGTACATTCTTGCAGTTTATGGAACAGACTATAAATTTAGCATTTAAAATAAATGGAAAAAATGGCTATATACGAAACAGAAATGATGGAAATGAAATAGTGACAACAAATGAAAAAGGACAACACTACGAAATGTTTAAAATGTGGTTGTTTGTTTTTTTGTTTTGCAATCAAAGAGACTTATGAGTGTACCCGTTATTGTTATTATTATGGCCATTTTGAATTTGCGCCACATTATCCTCAGAATCTGACCTGCTTAAACTACCAGCATCGTCTGGATGGAAATCGCCATCGAAATTGTTGTCCTCGGTGCTACCATTGGAATGCCTGGAAAAAGAAAGGAAAACACATTGGATTATTAAATTTCGTTAATAATAAAAATTTACAGGAATAAACAAGTGGAATAATAAGAGTTGATATTTATATTTTGAAATCTGAAATAATGGAACCTCAGTGAAGGCAATGAAAAGGTAATAAAGAAAAATTTGAAGGAACGGATTAAAATCTGACATACTAATGGGGAGTCCATTGCCTCTGCAGCCATTGGTAGTCGGATTTTAATACAAAAGGTTTTTATCCTTTTAAGACTGAATCGGTTTCAGGATTTATACGAGATTTAAGCCACGGATGATATTGAATTAAAATGTGGATGTATTTTCTTGAGTTGAAAAGCACGAATGTGGCTTCATGGAAGGTTTCATTACAAAGTGGCGATCACCAACAAATGTGGTACGAATGCGTGAACCTACACGGAAAATTCTGTCTGTGGAAATCACTCTAGCTACCGAACGAAAATGTAGTAAGTTGATCAAATTGTACTCAAATGTATATTATGTCTTTGGTATCGAAAATGGGTCATGTAGGTGCACGTTTTGGTATAGCCCCCAATATAATGGTACCATCCTATTTTCGGTATTTTGGCGATTTAAGCGACATTATTCACCGGAATTGTATCAAATTTTGGTATTTGAAGTTCGTAATGGATAACACAGCCTAAGGCGGAAAATTGTTTGTGCAGGTCCACGTCTTCATAGAGCCCCATATAACGGTACCTCCCGATATTCGGTATTGTGGTGATTTAAGCAACATTATTCACGGCAATTGTTCAAAATTTTATATTTGAAGTTCGTAATGGATACTACAGCCTAAGGCGGAAAATTGTTTGTGCAGATCCACGTCTTCGTATAGTCCCCGTATAATGGTACCTTCCGATGTTCGCTATTTTGAGGATTTTAGCGACATTATTCAATGGAATTGTTTCAAATTTGGTATTTCAAGCTCGTAATGGATACTACACCCTAAGACAGAAAATTGTCTGTGCAGGTCCACGTCTTCGTATAGCCCCCATATAATGGCACCTCTCGATAATCGGTATTTTGATGATTTTAGCGACATTATTCAACGGAATTGTTCGAAATTTGGTATTTGGAGTTAGCCTAATAAAGAAAATTTTTTGTGCTGGTCCACGTCTTTGTATAGCCCCCATATAACGGTACCTCCCGCTATTCGGTATTTTGGTGATTTAAGCGACATTATTCACGGCAATTGTTCAAAATTTGGTATTTGAAGTTCGTAATGGATACTACAGCCTATGCCAGAAAATTGTCTGTGCAGGTCCACGTCTTCGTATAGCCTTCACATAACGGTACCTCCCGATATTCGGTATTTTAATGATTTTAGCTACATTATTCACTGATTTTTTTCAAGTTTCGCATTTGAATATTGTAATGGCTTTTGACAAAAGTTGCCTTTGCAGGTTCACGTCGTATAGACCCTAACATAGCGCCTACATTCGGTTTTTTTAAGATCTTATCAGAATTTTTAACGGATTTAATTTTTTTTATTGTCAAATTCGTTTCAAATAGTGGATGGTATTCAAAGGTCGGACCGGCCGAAATTACAGTATTTTGTCTTGTTTATTAAAATTTCACTATTGCTCACATTTTACAACCAAAATACACATTTGGAAAATAATATTGCAATACCTCACAATATTCGGTAATTCGGAGTGTGCTTGAAGGGTTTTATTATACAAAAATTCACCCTTATGAAAAATGTTTAAGTTCGACCCTCGTTATAAGAAAAGCTCCATATAGAAACCTTTACCAATTTAGGGATTCAAAGTTCCTGGTCACATTTTTCAACACTTTTCTAGTATTTGTTGATATATTTTGATTTCAATGAGCAGAGAACGTAGCCAAGATTTTGGAACAGTCCCTTGAAACGGTGGTCTCCACCGTGGCGTGTTTTGGAGATCCTAACCACATTTGTCAACCGAATAAATTGCAATCTATTATTTTCACAGATTTTAAGCCATGATCCCAAATTTTTGAGTATTACAGATCACTGAATTAACATTGGCGAGGGGTTTTAAAGGTTTGTCCGTCTTTTCCTTTTTTATAAAATCGAATTCTATCAATTACTAGAAATATAAATAGCAACTTTAAAAATCCCTTTATCTAGAAGGTAATGGTTAGGGGACGATCTCTATACTTACCTTGACGATCGATGGCCATTGTTCATACTGTGAGTGCGATTGGCTTGCGGGCTATTATTGGCAATGGGTATTTGATTGGCTTTCTCCAAATAACCTTGATATTTTTTCAAATCCATTTTTAGTTTTTCCAATTTATGTTCGGATTCATTGAGCTGGCCCTCAACGGTCATGGGATTGCCCAGCGATGAATTGGCCTCATAGACGACTTTCATTTTCATCAGGCCATCGCGGGCCGCCGTCTCTTGCTGGATCTTCTGTTGCAGTTCGGCAATTTTGGCTTGGAGTTTTTTGCGTCGTTGATTGGGTGGCAGATCACTGAAATCTTCCTTTTGTCCGTCCGCAGTTAGGGAGTTCTAAATGAAATGCGATTGAAGAGAAGATTAGTAATGAAAGGAATTATAAAAAATAATGATAATATGATTTAAAGAGAACACATTTCTTGGTGCATTAGAACAACAAGAATCAGAATTAAAACTGCAAGGCAAAAAAGTAAAGGTTGGGAGGGCCAATGAAGACATTAAATCACCACTTTTAGTAATTTGATAATAGCCATTCATTTTTGACCTCCCATCCTAGGTGGTTACTTGAACAAACAGAAAATCGTCATGCATTGTCATACAATATTGAAAAAGAAAACAAAAAATTGGGATCTGAACTGAAAAAACACAATGATTTGAAATGTTCTTTCAATAATTTGCAAATGATAAACCAATAAACGAACGTGGGGGGTTAAGGTGAAAATTCGAAAACTGTGATCTATCTCTAAAAACTAGTAGTTTTGACAAATGTGACTATGAATATAGCGTGTTAAAAATGGTGTTTTACAGTGTGAATAGTTGAGATACAACAACAAAAAAAAACGATAAACAAAAAATTGGGTTTAGTTTAAGAGCAACAGGCAAACATGGGTATAAAGGAGACAAGTTTTATTAAAAAAAATTATTTAAATTTAATTTAAATTAACGTTAAGACTTTTTATTCCAATTTGATAATTCCCAAAAAAAATCCTTATAACCACGTTTGTCTGCATAAATATATTACTGTTGGATATACTCCTTATCATTCGGTGTTTTTGGTTAAAATATATTTTTCTAAATTAGTTGTTGTTAGTCGTGTCATACCTTCATCGTGATACAGGCTTCAATAATCTTCTGTTGCTGTTACAGAGAGAATTTTTGAATTTGTATCACATTTTTTTTATTTTGATTTTTTTAATTGCAGGTTATAAAATCAAAGCATAAGCAATTTTGGAATTTTGATTTTTTTTTAAGATTGGACATAATTCAAATTTAGTTTGTTAAACAAATCAATTTGTTTGTGTGTTGATTGGTGATGATTGTGTTTTGAAGATGACGTTTAATAGCGTTGATGTTCATGACGGTGATGATGATTTTCGATGAGAGATAGATTTTGGTGTGTATGTTTGTGTAAATGACAAAAAGGGGTGAAAAAAAGCGTTTAAATAACAATTTTTAAGCCAATGAGGGTAGAAAAGCATAACAAACGTTTGTGATTTTGAAAAATAAAAGAAAATAATTTTTAGCAAAAGGAAATTTACATGAAATAATTAAAAAATAAATTGGACAAATAAATAAAATTTAAGCCAAAAAAGATTAAGGTCAAATCAAAGTAAATCCGAAACAAAAAGTGAGATCAGAATAATGAAAGGCACTAAAACAAATTTTTAAAATATTTGCCTATGGAACCATTTAAAGAATTTAAAAAATCCAGATTGAATTTCTTGTAGCCTTTCAAAAATTAAAAAATTCACAATTGAAGTTTAAAAAACACAAAGAAGATTAATAGAAGGTATATACCGAAGGTTTTTAGAAGACATATGGAAGGTATTCTAACTACAGAATATATAATCAGTCTTCTTTCCTTAGAAGGCTTATAGAAGGAATTATGCCTTTAAAAGACCGACTGAAGAAGGTCGCCTAAAGCTGAGGTGTTATGTCACCACGAGCCCATCAGTTTGCAGTCAGGGTACCTATTGTATTTTTACGAAGCTTCGTTGATATTTGATTAATTAGAAAGTTCTTGCCATGGTACGGATGCTAGACATGTTCAACCCTTCAAAATTCGATGACACTTTGAAGATTATTGAATTAATGAATGAATTAATTCCTTGAACATCCCTTGATAGAAGAGGAATGAGTAGGTATTGATACTACGGTTAGCCAGGTCTCGACCTCCAGTCAAGGGTCGATGAAACTGGGTCTGCTGACCTAAAAAAACTCTGTCCCATCTCTACATCAACGGTCAGTACTGATAAGCCCTTGCTCTTTAAGCCAGATACGCCTGAGGCAGAAGGAGAACAGAAAAATTAAGATATCGCTGAATTCTCCGGTGGTCAAAAGTGCCAAAACCAAAGAGACGTAAAATACAGGCGTATGCTGCAGTCATTATGTTGATGGGAATGCGGCAAACTCAATGATAAGGAGAAGCAGAGCTTTAAATGAACCTGAATTTTGTTAGGAAGTTCGAAAAGAACTATCCCGACCCAATTTGGGGGAACCTCCGTTAAGCAGGATCCCAAAAAGGCGACGACTGTGTGGTCAGATCCGGAGATACCACCCGCCAATTCGGAGGAAGGCAAGGCTACGACGAAGTCTTCAGAACCGCAAATCTTGAAAACGTCTGCAAGGCGGAAGACCGAGTCGAAGCCTACCTCTAAATTTTCCAAACAGGTTTTGCGGAGACATGCTGTGATTTCACCATCTCCACATACTACAACGGTGATGAAGGTGAATTCCACAATTTAAGTACGAGTTCGAGTCAAAAACTTAAAAAAATATTTTAAAACAAAAAAGCTGTAAGTTCGACCGGGCCGAACTTTTAATACCCTCCACCAATTGGAACGAATTTAGAAATTTTCAAAAAATAAAATCCTTAAAAAATTCTGTTAAATTTTTTTAAAATACCGAATATAGCCGTTATATTGGGGTTTATACGACGTGGACCTACATTGGCATTATTTGTCATAAGCCATTGCCATATTCAAATTCGAATCTTGAAATAAACGGTGAATAATGTCGCTAAAATCATCAAAATATCGTATATAGGGAGGTACCGTTATATCGGAGTTGTGCAAAGACCTGGACCAGCATAGACATGTTTCTGCCATAGGCTGTAGCATCCATTACGAACTTCAAATACGACATTTCAAACAAATTCGGTGGGTATTGTACCTAAAATCGTCAAAATACCAAATATAGGGAGGTACTGATACATGGGGCCTATACAAAGACCTGGACCTGCACAGACAATTTGCTGTCGTAGGCTGTAGCATCCATTACGAACTTCAAATACCAAATTTGAAACAATTCCGGGAAATAATGTCGCTAAAATCATCAAATTGCCGAATAAAGCGAGGTATCGTTATATGGAGGCTATACGAAGACGTGAGCCTGCACACTAATTTTTTGGCATAGGCTGTAGTAACCATTACAAACTTCGAATGCGAAATTTGAAACAATTCGGGTGAATGATGTCGCTAAAATAATCAAAATATTGAATATCGGGAAATACCGTCATATGAGGGCTATACGAAGAAGTAAACCTGCACAGAAAATGTTCTATCTTAGACTGTAATATCCATTACGAACTTCAAATACCAAATTTGGAAACAATTCCGGTGAATACTGTCGCTAAAATCATCAAAATACCGAATATCGGGAGGTACGTACGTTATATGAGGGCTATACCAAGACGTAAACATGCACGGACAATTTTCTGTCATAGGCTGTAGTACCCACTACGACCTTCAAATACCGAATTTGAAAGAACTCCGCTGAATAATGTCACTAAAATTATCAAAATATCGAAAATAGGGAGGTACCATTATATGGTGCCTATACCAAAACGTGAACCTACATCACCCATTTTTTAATACCAAAAGTCCTGCAGACATAATATACATTTGAGTAAAATTTTATAAACCTAATTAATTTCGTTCGGAAGCTAAAGTGGTTTCCACAGACGGACGGGCATCGCTAAATCGACATAGAATTTTATGCTGATCAAGAATGGGGTTTAAATTTATTTGGGGTCTAAAAAGGAATATTTCGAGGTGTTACAAACGGAATGACAAACTTAACATACCCCCATACTATGGTTGAGGACATAATGACGAAGCTAATATGCTCTCCACAGTTTGATGGAGGGTATAAAATTGCTATTGAAAAGTTATTTAAACCTTCAAAAAATGACAATTCTCAAATTCTAGATTGGAGACCTGTTAAGCCTTTAAGAACTCACGATAGATACCATGTTAAATCTTCAACAATTTTATTTTAAAACCACGATTCGAACCTTAAGTTAGACCCAGAAATAAAAGAAATAGAGCGTCGAAATATGCCAAGTAAGTTAAGTTACTTAGAAAAGGGCAGCTATTGGATTTAAAGTTCACAAAAATATTACAACTCTAGCAAGCCAAGGGAGTCAAGTATAGTTATGGAATAAAACACAAAAAAAGGATCATATGGGACTCCTAAAAATCAAAAATATTTATGCTTTAAATAAGTAGTAGATTTGTATGAATAGATATATATATGAATATGAATGAATGATATATGTTGTTGGATATATATGATTATGTTTTTTATGATATTATATATGATCAAATAATAAATATTAAATTTAAAAGTTAAAACAAAAAAACCATACAATTAAAAATTAATTATTTCATCATGGACTGGATGAGAGGGACAACACATAATTGGTCTTGGGATAAAATAACACACAAAAGAACAAACAACACAGAAACATAGAAAACAAAATTGAAATATTTAATTGACAAATGGAAAATGGCAGCCAATTGCTTGTTATTCGAATTCATGATAAAGGCTCAAAAACCAAAAATTAAATCAAAAATATGGATATGGGTAGTTGGACTCGGATGGAGAGAGAGAGAAAAATGTGAGACAAGTAAGACGAAAAAAAACATAGATATTTTCGTATGAAATTTTACACATTCTTGATAGGTGTTGCAGTTTGTACTTACATTAAATGTAAAGTAAACACAATAAATTCACAATGGATTTACAAAATGAAACGTCGTCCACATTGGCGATTTGATGTAAGAATGCGGAAACGACGACGACGACAGGAAATTGTTGTTATTTTTTTTTTTTTTTGTTTTTGGTATGAGAAGAAAGAAATGCATTTGAGAAGAAATGCAACGATTGATAAATTGGCAAATAAAAACAACGATAAAATAAAAAAACAAAAGCACAACACAAAAAAAAATTACAAATGATATGAAACGAAGACCGAAAAAGAAAGAAATAAATAAAAAAGAAAATAAAGACTTTATAAATATTTGAATTGAACTAAATTATACATTTATCAAAATAACGATATTTTTTCAAAATTTGCACAAACAGTTTGTTTTTAAAAATTAAATTAAAAAGTACATTGAACTAACTACTATGCATTGCAATTATTTATGTATGGTTCCATTGAATTGTATAAATAGTACTTCACACATATTGACTGATGGATCCATGGTCTTTTTATACCCTACACCACAAGGTGGTCAGGGTATTATGTCTTTGTGCATTTGTTTGTAACAGGCAGAAGGAAACGAGATAGACCCATAGTTCCTTTTGATGATCTGCATAGAATCACATTCTGAATCGATTTATGCATGTCCGTCCGTCTGTCCATGTATTTTTGTAAACAAAGTACAGGTCGCATTTATTGCCCGATCCAGTTGAAATTTTACACAGATCTTTTGTTTGACCCAAGGACGAACCCTATTGAAATTGGAGATAATCGGTCAAAATTTAGATATAGCTCCCATATATGTCTTCATCCGATTTGCTTTTTATTGTGCACCAAACTTGTAATATCAGCCCGAATTGTATGGAATTTTGCACATACACCCAAATTAGGCCTGAAAATATGTATGCCAAATTTGATCGAAATCGGTTCAGATATAGCTATAGCTCCCATATATATTGATCATCCGATTTGTTATTTTTGTCCACCGCCGCCGTAATATGCACTCTGCAACAACAATATTTGGGGAAATGTATCAAATACAGCTCAGAAATACATTTGCTAAATTTTATCGAGATCGGTTCAGATTTGGATATAGCTCCCATATATAACTTCGACCGATTTACCTTTTATTGTGCACCAAACGTCTAATATATGTCCAAATGGGATGGAATTTGGCTCTTACGAACGAATTGAGTCTAGAAGCTAGTATGTCAAATTTGGTGAAGATCGGTTCAGATATAGCTATAGCTTTCATATATATTATTCATCCGATTTGTTATATTTGTTACCCACAACCGTAATATGCACTCCGTAACAACGATATTCAGGGAAATATATCAAATACAGCTCAGGAATATCTTTGCCAAATTTTATCGAGATCGGTTCAGATTTGGATATAGCTCCCATATATATCTTTATCCGATTTCAAATTAATTGTGCACCAAATGGGCAATACAATTCCGAATTTAAAAAATACAAATGCTTCGGCATATTTAGTACTTTGAACTTTAAATTATAATTATAATCATAGCGTGTATCAGTAAATTCTCCCATAAAAAATTTTAATTGTTATGTGGAGCTCTACTTAATTAGCAAAGTGGTGTAGGGTATCATAAAGTCGGCCCGCCCGACTTTAAGACTTTCTTTACTGGTTTTAAATATGTAAAAATATATTTATAAGATTACAATTAAAAATATTATATAAAAACTGCAATGGTATTAATGGACGTTAAGCTCGCTAGGTATCTACAATTTTTCCATTTCAAGCTATCCGTTCTTGATAGATGGTAAAATTATGGACCGAAGAGCTGCGGAAATAGAACACGAAGTAGATAAAAATAACTTCATAGAAAAGAACTTCAATGACAAGACTCTTGACCTTGTTGACGAGAGCGTTAAAAGACAGCAACAAACTATCCACCAGATCACTGCGACTGAATCAGGATAGTATCCCTGTAGAATTCTGGAAAACCCCCCAGCCTGGCAAGGAAGAGGACATGGATACCACGGTAGTCCAGGTCTCGACCTCAGTCCCAAAAAAAATCGACCAGAATAGTCCTAGCGGCCCAAATTCGTTGGTAAGTACCGACAAAGCCAAAACTCTTAAGGGAGGAGGCAATCGAGGCAGAAGTAGTACAGAGCGGCGTTTCCATCGATTAAATGGAAGTGTAACTGAGCTCTCCCGACACCAAGAACGCCAAATTCCAGGAGAAAAGGCAAATTTCAGTCGAAATGTCGATGGGGATCCGTCAAAGCTTACTGATGAGGAGTTGCATCAGGATGAACCTGAAGTTTACGAGGAAGTTCAAGGAGATATATCCTAATGCAACACCATAGGAACTCCCGATAAGAATGGTGACATCAGTTGATGCCCCAAAAAACCGAAGACTGCGGGTAGCCTTCAGAAAGAGTCTCTGAGGTGCCAAAGCAAAAGAAGGCAAGGCTGAGGTTAAGTTCACAGACTTTAAAAAGGCAGCAGAGAAGAAAAGGCAATCGAAATTTGCTTAACCTTCGAAACTGGCCCGGCTGTTAATTCATCAAAACAACCCGCTACAATGGCAAATGTGATGTTACAACATGTGGACAGAGCAAAGATGGGAACAACGAAGGCTACAGCGAACGGACATAAGCGGACATCTTGTCTACTAAGTTGCCATTCTCGCTGAAGGAAGCAGCATCGAAGGCGAATAAGTCCCCCTCTCAGCCACTGGCAGATATATGGCAAATTCATGGACCAAGAGTGGGGAAGTAGAATACTATGTACTATCGTCCAACTATGGCGGATGACGCATTAAAAGATTGCATCAAGAAATCCGTCTGATCGTTGCGAATATGGGACTGTTAACGCTAAGTCAGGACAGTATACGACAATAGGCTACTCGGAAAGTCCCCCGTCTGACGAGGAAGCGGACCAGGGTAATCCAGACCTCGACCTCTAGTCAGGCTTTGACTGCCAAGAAAATCTGCATAGTTGCCAATCTCGCTGAAGGAAACAGCACCGAAGGCGATCAGTTCCCTTCTCACCCAAGTGCTGTGAAGTGGATGCGGTCAACTGGGGAGCAGCAACCAGGGCGAAGAAAGTCGCGACGTCGTAGACGGTACAGCAGTCCGTTTCATATGCTTCGGTAGCGGCAAAGAAGGATAGTGGGAAACACACAAATTTGGAAGGTGAAAGCCGGATGGCACCGGATGACCTTAGAGTAGCGAATAATCTGACCTCAAATGGGTACAAGGCTGCTGATTGAAGGGAGATCCGATATATATACCTGTTGGGTGATGTCGAACAGCGGAATGTGCGGATTAGCTGAACTGCAATCTATGGGGAAGCCAGGGTCAGCCAGTGGCTGTAAAGAGGATTGCATCAACTTGGGGAGCATCAACCCAGGGCGAAGAAAGTAGTGACGACTCAGACGGTACAACAGTCCGTTCCATATGCTTCGGTAGCGGCAAAGAAGGATAGTGGGAAGCACACTAATTGGAAGGTGAAAGCCGGATGGCACCGGGTGACTTTAGAGTAGCAAACAATCTGACCTCAAATGGGTACAAGGCTGCTGATTGAAGGGAGATCCGATATATCTACCTGTTGGGTGATGTCGAACAGTGGAATGTGCGCATTAGCTGAGCTGCACTCTATGGGTAAGCCAGGGTCAGCCAGTGGCGGTAAAGAGGATTCCGTCAACTGACAGCAGCAACCCAGGGCGAAGGAAATGGTGACGACGCAGACGGTACAACATTCCGTTCCATATGCTTCGGTAGCGGCAAAGAAGGATAGTGGGAAGCACACTAATTGGAAGGTGAAAGCCGGATGGCACCGGATGACCTTAGAGTAGCGAATAATCTGACCTCAAATGGGTACAAGGCTGCTGATTGAAGGGAGATCCGATATATATACCTGTTGGGTGATGTCGAACAGCGGAATGTGCGGATTAGCTGAGCTGCAGGGTCAGCCAGTGGCGGTAAAGAGGATTGCGTCAACTGACAAGCAGCAACCCAGGGCGAAGGAAATGGTGACGACGCAGACGGTATATCTATTCGTCTCGTATACTTCGGTAGCCGCTAAGATGGATAGCACTCCAATAAGAAGGCAAAAACCGGATGGTACTGTATGACCTTAAAGTTGCGGTTTTTGATGAGGCTAACCCCAAATGGGTACAAGGCTGCTGATCGACGTGAAGATCCGACACTTCTACCTGTCGGATGATGTAGAACAGCAGAATGTACGGATGAGTTGAGCTGAGCACACTATAGGGGAGACGGGGTCATTACCAGCAAAAATAAGGAATTAGGATGATTTCCTAATTTCCGCAGTCAATGGAAGGGAAGACAGCAAAGTCGGCTCGCAGCCTGTCTCGGAGGCCCCATGGCTTCAGTGTCAATCGGTGAGGCCAATTAGCCATCCGTCAGCTAATACTAGCAGTTATCTAAGGTTTGCGTTAAGAAGACTGACAAAGGATTGCAGTTGAAACTTGATTGTTGGGCAGAAGTAAATTCCTCTAAAAGAGAGCCAAGGCAATTTGGCACAATTTGGATATCAGCCCTCACACCGCTAGGACCATTGCTGCGGAGTCAGGCCATTTTTGATCGGGCTTCAACTCCAAATCGATTACGAAAACAATCCTTCCTTTATTTCTTGTTCCTTTTTATTCTTTGAGAATCTGTACTTTTTAGATTTTCCACATATCGATTAGAAGGTATATTTGCTACGTTATCCCTTGTGAATAAGGTTTTCCTTTCAAGACAAAACGAAAACTTTGAGACGGAATAAATTTAATTTACTCCGCTAAGACCATGTCTGCGGAGTCGAGCAATTTTTGATCAGACTACGAAAACAATTTTTCCTTTTATTTTTTCTTTTTTGTTATTGAGAATATGTACCTTTTAGAAATTCCACTTCGCATAAGCGCCGATCATAAGTGGTAGATTTATCTAAAGTAGATTCTCCCTTCAAGACACAAATATTTTTGTATCATCAACAGATTATATGCCTATTTAGATTTTGGTTAGAACTATTAAGAAACAAACATTTGCATCAAAAGTTTCAGTACTTCCAAATATAATCTCGAGTCATTGGAACATTTACTCAATTAAAAAACAATTCAATGGATCTCTAACATAAACAATGCCGTACAAAACAAAACATCAAGAATTCATAAGCAACATAACAAGGACGACGACAAAACAAACTTCAACTTACCTTATTACTGCCAAAGATGTTGAAAATCCCCACACGTTTCTTAATTTTATTAGCACTTATGGTACCCTTAACGGTTAAATGACTGGACTGTACATGATTATAGTGGGACTCTTGGGATGTATCAAGAGTGTCCATTTTGGAAAGATCCTCAAAAGGTATATCGCCTGGTGGTGTGAAACCAGATTGATATCTAAAAAAAAAAAATATATAATGAGGCCAAAAGTAAAAAAAATCAATTAAAATACCTTTCGATAACTTTATATGAATCTTCTTTTTCATTAATTGATTCGCCGGCCTTTACCATGCCCTCAAGACACCGGGCAATGATGGGTGCTACAGAGGACTCTACATCGGCGGCACTAATAATGAATTCTCTAATGCCACGGGTTCTCTTTTCATCCAATTCTTGCAGTCGATTAAATACCTAAGACAATAAATTGGATTAAATGTAATTTATGGTAAATGGAATTCCTCCTACCTCCGGTAATAGTTCATGATAATGCTGTTGCTGCAGATTATTTGATTTCTGTAATTGATTGGCATACTCGTTCTTGGCATCGTCTGACTGTTGTATCTTTGCCGTCATAATATTCTTGTAACGTTCCACCTCGGCTCGACTCAGATTCAAGTCCATATCAGCCTTTTTGTAATTTTCAACGGCCTTTTCCGAATCACGATAAGCTTTCTCATAGTTACGTTTAGCCCGTTCCAATGCCGCCAGTTGTGTGGTGAGGTTTTGATGTAAAATGGTACCGTTGGAAAGACATTTCTAGAAAAAATAGTTGTTAATTAATGACAGTGAAACAAAAAAGGGGGTGTATTTTTTGAGTAAGACTTACTTTTCGTTCTTCCCTTAGGGTTTTGGAGAGCAATGAAATGCCTTGTATGATTTGTAATTGCAGGGATTCAGCCACAACTTCCCGTTGTCCAGCCAAGTCACTGATTTCATTGAGAACTTTGCGGAAAGCTTGCCATGATGTGAATCTAAAGAGGGGAGATAAATTTGATTTCAGTCAAGTAAATGTCGATGTGTGGATAAATTGAAATGTATGTGTAAGTGAGTGTGTTGGTGTGCATATATTAAATTTCAATCGGTTAATGGGTATTTTTTATAACATATGAATAAAATGAAAGTAAGCATGGCCAGGCCCAACTTTTGTAAATCCATGTTAACAAGTGGAATTACAAATCTAGAAGAAGTATGTCATTCTTAGTAAGCCTTTAAAAAATTATCGTTCTTAGTGAGCCTTTAATTTTTGTTGGGGGAAATATCGAGATGTGGACCTATATCAAAGAATGCGACCAATGATGTTGAAGTTTAAAATTCTTTATACCGCGGATCTTTAAGCCATTGCAGGTGGAGATGAAGAACTTCTCCAAAAAAATGGACTAGATGTGGCGCACATCTTCATCTAATCCATTTCTTTTTCTTCTCTAACTATTTCTCGGGATGGGGCCGTTTGACCGCAGGTCTCCAAGTAAATTAGCCATCATTGTTAGTTATAGTAAAGGTTAAGAGCTTGACTTGCCTGGCATGTGATTTCTCACAAGTCGGTGCCACATGTCAAAACAGCTCACGTAACTATGGACTTATTCGGGACCGGTCAATTACCCGCTTAGATTTGACATCTTTGGAATATTTTTTTGGAGCTATGCTGAAGCTCACGTCTATAAAGATGAGACCACTTCAATTGAAGAATAAGAAGACAACATTGAAGCATTTATTCATGCGATTCTGGCCGAAATGTTGGGAAAAGTATGCCAAAATTAGACTATGCGAATAGACCATTTGAGGAGCAGCCACAGGCAAATAAAGATTTCATGAATTTTTCTGAACTTCATGCTTTTTATAACCGATTTTGCAATTATGGATGTTTGGCAAATTTTAATTTTCATAAGCGCCAAAAAATATGCAACGAATTTTGTGCTTTTATACTTCAGTCAATAACACTGTTCCACAAAATTCAATATTTCTCACTAATTACAAGAATACATCGCAAACTAACCTAAATAGAGAGAAAGCTCCCCTCTTCCACACTTTTACAATTTTTCGGATTAATATGCCTTGAAATCCTTACATTTTAGGTATATGGCAATATTGCAGATAAAAACACAAGGATCATTTTCGTTGAAACTTTTTTTTTCAAGGACCAAGAAATGTGGATTTCTTAAAGAATATTTTTCAAGGACTCTCAGACCAATAAATGTGGATTTTTAAAGAATATTTTTAAGGACACCCAGACTAATAAACGTGGATTTTTTAAAGAATATTTTTCAAGGACTCTCGGACCAATCAACGTGGATTTTTTAAAGAATATTTTTCAAGGACTCTCGGACCAATCAACGTGGATTTTTTAAAATATATTTTTCAAGGACTCCCAGACCAACCAACGTGGATTTTTTAAAGAATATTTTTCAAGGACTCTCAGACTAATCAACGTGGATTTTTTAAAAGAATATTTTTCAAGGACTCTCAGACCAATCAACTTGGATTTTTTAAAAAAATATTTTTCAAGGACTCTCAGACCAATCAACGTGGATTTTTTAAAAGAATATTTTTCAAGGACTCTCAGACCAATCAACGTGGATTTTTTAAAAGAATATTTTTCAAGGACTCTCAGACCAATCAACGTGGATTTAATAAATAATATTTTTCAAGGACTCTCTGATTAATAAACGTGGATGTAATAAATAATATTTTTCAAGGACTCTCTGATTAATAAACGTGGATGTAATAAATAATATTTTTCAAGGACTTTCTGATTAATAAACGTGGATTTTTTAAAGAATATCTTTCAAGGACTTTCAGACCAATCAACAAGGATTTTTTCAAGGACTCTAAGACCAATAAACGTGAATTTTTAAAGAATATTTTTCAAGGACTCTCAGACCAATCAACGTGGATTTTTTAAAGAATATTTTTTCAGGGAGATTTTCCAAGAGATTTTTTAAGAATATTTCTTCAAGGAACAACAGAATATTTTTTTAAGAACCAACAGACCAATAATTGTGAATTTTTTAAAGACCAAGATAGGAACGATCGCAAATTTATGTGAATTTCATAAGAATATTTTTTAAAGGACCAAGAGATCAATTATGTCGAATTCGTTAAGAAAAAAAATTTTTTTTCAAGGACCAACAGACCAATAACCGTTGATTTTTGAAGATTTTTATTTCAGGGACCAACAGACCAATAATCATCCTTGTAAAAAAATTGTTCTGAGGAACAATTTTGCAAAAACACACATTAAGTATGATTTTAACCCTAAAATGTGTTTTTTTATGTAAATGAATTCTTGATGTAAGATTTACGCTCTTGACGTCTTCGAGGACCTATAGTAGAATTTTATGACAAATAATTTTTTCTGAATATTTTGACTTGCTACGATCGCCTTTAATGGGACTTCTTAGCCATACTTTAAAAAAGGACCAAAAATACCACTTTTATGAGTCGCTTTAAGGTAAAACATTTCACCAAAAAAATCCTCGTGGTTGTATCTGAAATATTACCAAAGACACTATTTAAGTAATGTTCAGGGATTCAGAAGAATCTTAATCTGAAATTTTCCAAAAATGTGGAAGATGGGTGGGCTTGACCTCTCTATTTTGATTGCTTTTTGCTGTAAACTTTCAAAATGCCGATACACGTGTCTTCTTTTTTTAGCTCCACTTTCATAATCTGCGGTATTTCCCCTGTAACTATTTTTTGTGTTGCACAAGAATATTTCTTCAAGCCCTTTAATAGGGCTATCATTGTTATATTCTCACCTTTTAAAAAAATGTCCAGATCTTCATGGATTATTTAAGAGTATTTTTTTTTGCAGGACTATGACGGCTATATTAGCATTATTTTAATATTTTCAAGGTCTATGGGGACTATAATTTTAACTTTTGTGGATCTTAAACAATGTGTTTTCTAGACCTATGTGGGTAATATTCGTGATATTTTTAGAAATATATTTTCAAAGACTCTCTGAAAAATAATTGTGGTTTAATTTTCTAGAGGATTTTTTTTTTTTTTTTTTTTGAAATTTAGGAATATTTTTTGGGGCTTTTATGTATATTTTTTAAGAATATTTTTCAAGTTCTTCAACAGTATATGCGTGATTTTCTTTTCAGAATACTTTTATTTTTTCATTTTTATTCAATATCTCTTAAGCTTATATTGTCTGATACTACTGCACATCACCCAGGATCAATGGTTCAACGTGGTTCATGGATGGCCTCAAACCCCCATCAATAATGTGGCATCAAAATACTCACTATTTCAACAAGTAAATCCACCGATTGTGGACTTAGTTCTATATATTAAAAATAACAACACACCAACACAGTCACACACACACACATTCTCTCTCTCTTTCAGATTATATTGTTTATTATTTGTAAATGTATATATATTTCAAATCAAACACATGTCTATATATTTTTTATTAATTATATCGTACTTACTCATTATCTTCTTCTTCTTTTTTCTTGGGCTGATAATTTTTCACTAAACGCCTGTAATAGAAATAAAACAACAACAAAGAAAGAGAAATTAATACAAAGTGGAAAAAAAATTGTTTATAACAAAAACTCGCAGCATTTCATGAACGTTTGATAAATTAATTAATAATTTGGGTCATATACAGAAAAAAGAGGCTACAACAACAACAAAAACTTTGCAACATCAAGAAATTTCTTTTCAAAAATTGGCGCCAAGTAAACAACTCCATGGCCGTTTACACGCAACCGTTTAATGCTGTGTGCTTGAGCGTTGAGACTAGAAATCGAAGAAAATTTATGCAAATGTGACTAGCTTCCAAAACATGATTTCGATTTTCCATAACGTAATTGTCGGCTGAAATGCAACGAAATGCCATCGAGAATGAAAGAGACCGTTGGAAAATAACATGCAATGGAGGGAGTAGTTTTGGAAAAACAAATGAAAACATTTCATCAAAATATCCAACTGGAAAAGCTGAAATCAATGATAGGTGTTTGGTGTTCCAATCAAAGGTTTTGATATCGCAATTTTTTGAAAACATTTTTCAAGGACCAACAGATCAATAATCGTGGATTTTTAAGAATATTTTCTTTAAGGACCAAAAGACCGATAATCGGGTTTTTTTTAAAGATTTTTCAAGAACCAAACAGACCAATAATTTTGCATCTTTTAAGGACTTACAGACCAATAATCCTGTTTTGTCCTTTTTTCCTCAAGAACCGAACCAATTAAAGAACATGTCAATAATCGGAAATGTTTAACAGTATTTTCTCAAGTACCAGTGGACCAAAATTTTTTCACAAGGACAATATTTTCTCAAGGACCAATAGACTAATAATTGAAAAAAAGGACTAAGATGTCAATAATCGTGGTTTTTAACGAATATTTTTCCAGAACCAAAAGACCGTTAATCGGGATTTTTTATGAAAATTTTGCAAGGACCAACACAAGGACAAGGATTTTTCAAGGACAAACAGAACAATTGTCGCGGATTTGTTAAGAAAAGTTTTTCAGGATCCAACAGACCGATAACACTGGATTATCCAAGGACTAAAAGAAAAACAATCGTGGATATTTTTAAGAATAATTTTTTCAAGGATCCGCAGACCAATAATCGCGGAATTTTTAAAAATATTTGTTCAAGGACCAAGCGGATTTTAGAAGAACTTTTTAAGGACTAACCGGATTTTTTTAAGAATATTTTTTCAAGGACCAATAATCGTGGATTTTTAAAGAATATTTTTCAAAGACCTAAAGACCAATAATCGCGGATTTTTTAAGAATATTTTTTCATTACAAACGGACCAATTATCAAGGACGTTTTTAAAACATTTTTAAGGACTATCAGACAAATAATCGTGAATTTTTTAAGAATATTTTTTCGAGGACTTACAGAAGAATAATTGTGGATTTTGATTTTTTTTTCAAGGACTAAAAGACCAACAATCGGTTTTTAAGGATATTTGAATATCTACCGATTATTTTTTCGAGCACTACAGACGAATAATCGTGGATTTTTGAAGAATATTTTTTCAAGGACTAACAGAAAAATTATCGTGGATTTTTTAAAAATATTTCTTCAAGGACCAACAGACCAATAATCCTGGATTTCTAAGAATATTTTCTCAAGGACCAAAAGGCTTATAATTGTGGATTTTTTAAGAATATTTTTCCAAGGATTGTTAACAATGTTTTCTCAAGGACCACCAGACAATATTAATCGTGAATTTTTCAAGGACCAAAAGGCTTATAATCTTGGTTTTTTAGAATATTTTTTTCAGGGATTTTTAAGAAAGTTTTTTCAAGGACCAACAGATAAATGATTTTGGATTTTATAAAAATATTTTTTGAAGGACCAACAACTTTTCAAAAATATTTTTTCAAGGACCAACAGAAGAATAATCGTGGTTTCTTGAAGAATATTTTTTTAAGGACCTACAATCTTGGATTTTTAAAAATATTTTTTCAAGGACATCTTGTCAAAGAATATTTTTCAAGAACCAACAGACCAATAATCGTGGATTTTTAAACGGTATTTTTTCAAGGAATACCAGACCAATACTAGTGATTTTTTTTAAGAATAATATTTCAAGGAACAACACACCATTGATCATAGATTTGTTAGGAATATTTTTTCACAGATTTTTAACAAAAAATTTTTTTCAAGGACCAACAGACCAATGATTTTGGATTTTTTAAGAATGTGTTTCCAAGGACCAAGAGACCAATAATGACGGATTTTTGAAGAATGATTTTTCAAGAACCAACCGGATTTTTTAAGAATAATTTTTCAAGGACCATCAGACAAGCAATCGTTGATTTTTTAAGACTTGTTTTCAGGTATGAACTTGTATTTTTTTTTTCATTTTTTCAAGGACTAAAAATCTTGTTTTTTTTTTAAATATTTTTTTAAGAACCAACGAACCAATAATCTTGGATTTTTTCATATTTTTTTATGGACCAACGGACCAATAATCTTGGATTTTTTTTTAAATATTTTTTCAAAGGACCAACAGACCATTAAGCTGTGATTTTTAGGAATATGTTCTTAAGGATCAAAAGACCAACAATCTAGGTTTTTTTTAAGAATATTTTGAATGTTTTATTTTTAGAATGTTTTTTTTTTTTTTCAAGGACCAAGAGGGTTCTTTTTAAGAATATTTTTTCAAGGACCAATAGTCTTGGATTTTCTAACAAAATTTTTCTCAAGGACCAATAGACCCCAAATTTGTTAAAAATCTTTTTTCAAGGACCAACAGAACAATAATCTTGGATTTTTTTAAGAATATTTTTCCAAGAACCAACAGACAAACAATCGTTATTTTTTTTAAGACTAGTTTTTCAGAGACACTTTTGGATTTTTTTTATTTTTTTCAAGGACCAACGGACCAAAAATCGTGAATTTTTTAAAAATATTTTTTTAAGGGCAATTGTATTGATTTTTCTTTTAAATATTTTTTCAAATGACCAACAGACCAATAAGCGGAGATTTTTAAGAATATTTTAAGGATCAATAGACCAATAACTTAAGATTTTTTTAACGAATATTTTGTCAGGGACCAACGGATTAATAATCGTGCATTTTTTAAGAATGTTTTTTTTCAAAGACCAACAGGATTTTTTAATATTTTTTTTTTCAAGGACCAATAGTTTTGGACTTTCTAACAACATTTTTCTCAAGGGCGAACAGACCAATATTCGTGGATTTTTTAAGAATATTTTTAAGGACCAACAGACAGATCGTGGATTTTTAAGAATATCTGTTGAAGGGCCAACAGACCTATTATCGAATAAGAATAATCTTGGATTTTTTAAAAATATTTTTACAAACCGATAACCCTGGATTTTTTAAGAATTTTATTTCGAGGAAAAACAGATCAATATTTTTGATTTTTTTTAAAAATGTGTTTTGAAAGGACCAACGGACCAATAATACCGGATTTTTCAAAAAATATTTTTTTTGTTTATATAATTAAATTCTATAAAATTACCATTTATTAAAATAAAAATAAACTTCTATTCAAACAAAGATAAATTCGTTTTACAAATATCAGCCACTTTTTAATAAGAGATACCAGTGTTGGACTTGATCCAATCCAAGTAGCTGGTGACACGAGTGAAGGCAGCTGGGTAACCCTTGGCGCAACCGGCCGAAGAACCGAAGGAGGTCAAACCAACTTGAACCTTGGAGGATTCCAAAACCAATGGGCCGCCAGAATCACCGTTGCAGGTAGAAACACCACCGGGAGTGGAGACACAAATGTTGGACGAGGTAACAATGGAGGTACCATAGGTGGCAGCACAGACGGTGTTGGTGATGATTTGCATGCGGGCCCATTGCAGGTTGTTGGTAACACCGGTGGCAGAGTCAGAGATACGGCCCCAACCGGAAGCGATGGCATAATCACCGGCATAGGTGGAGTAAGAGTTGGCAATGGCGGGCAATTTAACGGCTTGGATGCGGCTGGTGTAGGACACGGAGGGGATCTTGATCAAGGAGATATCGTTCTTAACAGTCTTGCTATTCCAGCCAGAGTGGATGATGATGTTGCTGCTGGAAACGGTGTGGGTAACTTCAGCGGAGGTGCGTACGGTGGCGCCCAAGTAGACAGTGACGGAGGAGACACTAAAATTTGATTTTTACAAATAAAAATTTAATTCGAATATATTTTGGATTCAAACAAATTGCAGCTTACCCATCGGTACAGTGAGCAGCGGTCAAAACCCATTGGGAACCAATCAAGGAACCACCACACCAGGACGATGAGAGAGCGCTAATTTTCAAGGAAAGACCAACTTGGTAGGGGAATTGACCAACCGAGGCAGTGTTGCCATTGGTAATACGGCCCTCGGTTTCAACGACGGGCATAACGACGCTGCGGGATTCCACATTTTCGGCTCTCAAGTCGAAGGCTGAGGCAGTGGCCAAAGCCAATGCAAAAATAACCAAGAATTTCATGTTGCTGCTGTGATACAACTGATACCGAACCCAAGAACCTTTGCGGTTTTTATACAAATAAAAGAAATGCCGACAATATTTTATTGGTTTTATCAAATGCACTCGATGACAGTTATATAACCCAATTCTCCAATATTATTATCACAGATTACTAGACAGGAGATAAACAAATGAATTTGCAAAAACCTATTTGATTTATATCTGAAATAGTGCAAAAAATTATCAAAGGGCAAACCCAGCCGCAGATAAGATTTAAGAACTGACCAGTATTATTTGCTATTATCACTTTGGGCACACTTCAAACTATCGCCCAGAATTGGCGATAAGAAATTCGGAAATTTCGGCGTATAAAAACCCCAAAACTATGCCAAGGCCTGTATCAGTTGTATCACCGCAGCAACATGAAATTCTTGGTTATTTTTGCCTTGGCTTTGGCCACCGCCTCTGCCTTCGACTTGAGAGCCGAAAATATGGAATCCCGCAGCGTCGTTATGCCCGTCGTTGAAAGCGAGGGTCGCATTACCAACGGCAACACTGCCAGCGTTGGACAATTCCCCTACCAAGTTGGTCTTTCCTTGAAAATTAGCGCTCTCTCATCGTCCTGGTGTGGTGGTTCCTTGATTGGTTCCCAATGGGTTTTGACCGCTGCTCACTGTACCGATGGGTAAGTTTGGATGGACAATTTTAATAATTAAAGGCTCATTTTTAAAAATTGTAAAATTTTAGTATCTCCTCCGTCACCGTCTACTTGGGCGCCACCGTTCGCACCTCCGCTGAAGTCACCCACACCGTCTCCAGCAGCAACATCATCATCCACTCTGGCTGGAACAGCAAGACCTTGAAGAACGATATCTCCTTGATCAAGATCCCCTCTGTCTCCTACACCAGCCGCATCCAAGCCGTTAAATTGCCCGCCATTGCCAGCTCCTACTCCACTTATGCCGGTGATTATGCCATCGCCTCCGGTTGGGGCAAGATTTCCGACTCCGCCACCTCGGTCACCAACAACTTGCAATGGGCCCGTATGCAAATCATCACCAACACCGTCTGTGCTGCCACCTATGGTACCTCCATTGTCACTTCCTCCAACATCTGTGTCTCCACTCCCGGTGGTGTTTCTACCTGCAACGGTGACTCTGGCGGCCCATTGGTTTTGGAATCTTCCAAGGTTCAAGTTGGTTTGACCTCCTTCGGTTCTTCTGCCGGTTGCGCCAAGGGCTACCCAGCTGCCTTCACTCGTGTCACCAGCTACTTGGATTGGATCAAGTCCAACACTGGCATCGCTTATTAGATTACCGGAAAATGTGAACTTGTATTCTTTGGTGCTATAGTACTGTTGATATTATAATAAATTAAGAGGAAAAAAAACAAAAACAAATGTTGTTCTTTTTTTTCAATGTAGATATCCCTGGAATTTTTTGGATTTGGAAGTAGAGGCGAGGAACAATATTTTTGAGAATCCAAATTTGCCTTTCACAATAATAGTAGACATATTATGAGACTGAGAATGACTTTGAGAGCTTTTTTAAAGAAAATACCCCTTATGAGATCCCCTTTTTAAATAAGACGTTTCAACGGAACTTTCTGATATGGAAGATCATTGAATGCTGACCTTTATACGTAGATCTTTATAAGGAAGACTCTTCCCTAGGTTCTGTGTAGACATATGTGGCCTTCTTTAGAATGACAAATGTTCTCCCATGAATGGATGGCATATATAATAAGACGGTAAATTCTGATTTTCGTAATTTTGAAGGCCTTGGCCTATACAAACTTTCAGAATATCATTGATTAGAACCATTCCTTGCAAAAATCTTTCAATATAGGTCTTCTGTTTGGCACATTCTCTATATCTACCTCTATAACGACTCATTCTTGCTTCCGATATTTTATGATTTTACCAACAATTTTTTAAAAGAATTGGTTGTAAATTGAGCCAGCATTGGCCCACAAAAAATGTTCCATTAGTATTTCTGGCACATTTAGGTGTTCCCAAGGTTCTGGCATTATTTTCAGCTGAAGTGGCTAAATATCATATTTTCAAATATCAATAGGTATAACGTATCCTTACGAAGAATATTCAATGTAGGAGACATTTTTGGAATAACTCCATACAATTTTAAGTCCAATTATTAACAGTCCATGGACTACCTCTTAGTATTTTAGACTCGCAGTGGGTAAAGGACTGACTATCTCATAACGGTTGTTTTGTGGTCAATTATTTGATAGATGCCCCATATAGGGACACTTCCTAATTTTTGACAGTGTTGAGGTCTCAGCCGTAGTCTTTAACTGGACTTTTAATCGATTTGGAGTTGTGATTAAATAAAAATAAGGCCTAGAAAAAAATGTTCGATTTGGTTCCAAGTGTTGACATAAATACGGCCTAGAAAAATAATTTAAGTTTGGTCCCGAGTTTTGCCGATTTTAAGTGATTTGAAAATTTTAACTGGATTTTCCAGTCGGAGTTGTTGTAGAAGCTAGAACACATCTCCATCAAAAACGCTTAATGTAGCTCCTAGATACCAGATTTGAGGTCCTAGTCATGTTTTCCTTGGACATGCTTTTCCCATTCACTATGAATTTTTTTTTAAACATTTTTTTTGACACATTTTATATGAAAAATTTCATATTTTGTCTGTTATACAAACATCAGGCCCTGCCTTCCAAATGGTTTTAATTTTTAACTTTTGGACTACATGTCCCTGTCAAGGTAGGACGTGGAGTAAAGGCGTCCTAAAACTTGAAGTTAAGATTGCTTTGATGCCGAGCAAATACTGAGTGAGATGAAAAAACTGCACCTAACTTTAGTTATTCCAGTGACAGCTCATTATATTGTTTACAAGCGTACAAAAGCATTTTCCAGAAAATAAGTTATTAGTGATGGAATTCGAGCGTGATAGTGTGATTTCTTTATATTTGGCTGGAAAACCACAAGTGGCTATCGTAGGAGCACTCCAGAAATTAAATGCGAATAATCTTTTGTGTCTCGTACCATCGCTTGTTACTCTTTACCGTGATACTGGTAGCGTAGCCCACCGTCAAGGACCTGGACGGAAAAAACAACAACATCAGCAGAAATGGTTCGAAAAGTAAAAAAGCGACTTGATCGAAACTCGCGTCGCAGTGGCCGAAAAATGGCTTGTGAGCTGAACATATCGCAAAATTCCATTCGGCAAATATTGAAAAATGAGCTCGGGGTAAAGCCATTGACATTCCAAAAATTGCAATAACTTACAACGCATCAGAAAGAAAATAGACTCAAAAGAGCTAAAGAGTTGCTTCGCTTGACCGAAAGTGGTGAACTGCCGAATTTGGTTTTCTCCGATGAGAAAACATTCGTTGTCCAGCAGTTTGTAAACAAACAAAATGGTCGTGTTTATTTGCCAAAGCGGTCAGCTGAAAATGTGCACCTTCGTTTGACCACCAGAACTCAAGCGCCGGCCATGGTGATGGTGTGGGACGCCATAACAACCCATGACCGCTTTCCGCTCGTATTAATCGACCATGGCATCAGAATAAATGCCGAATATTATCGCGGAAAATATTCGGGAGGGTATATCAAAGCCTTGGGCACGCAAACATTTTGACCCCAGATCTTGGACATTCCAACAGGACCCAGCACCATCGCAATCAGAACGCGCCACCCAAGAATGGTTACAAAATAAGGTTCCTCGCTTCATTTCCAGCGCACAATGGGCACCAAAAAACCAATACCGGATACCTATCCGTTCGACTATTGTGTCTGGAGTATTTTTTAAAGCAAGGTTGGCACTAAAAAATACCAGTGTCGATCAGCTCAAGCAAGCTCTTGTAAATTTGTAAAAATTATGGCGTTTAACTTTGTTGCAGTTTTTTTTTATCTCACCCTGTAAATATTTCAACATTTTCAATACTCTCTTGAAAAACTTGAAAGATACGAAAATGTCAATGAGTAGCCCTTTCAAGGACCAACAGACCAATATCCAACATTTTCAATACTCTCTTGAAAAAATCGATGGATATGGAAATGTCAAAAAGTACCCCTTTCGAGGACAAACAGACCAATAATCATTAGATTTTTTAATGGTCCATAACCTTAAATTTTCTAAAATTGTTTTTACGTAACAAGAGACCAATATTTGAAGATTTTTTAAGGATATTTTTTCAAGGACTAGCAGCCAACAAAATCCAAAATAAGCTGAATAAAGTCCAATAATCAGACCAACAGACCATTATTCGGCAATTTTAAGGATAATTGTTTAAGGATTAGCAGGCAAATCTTGAATTGTTTAGGATATTTTCCAAAGAACAACAGACAAAACGTGGATTTTTTAAGGATATTTTTTCAGACAACATGAAAATAATCGTTGATTTTTAAGGTCTGGGTTGTAGAATATTCAAAGTGGGCTTTATATAATTTTGACTATATACAAAGGAAGATATAGTTCGTAATATTTAGAATAGAGCTTTGCAATTTGATAGAGACCCACAGAATATTTGTCGCATCGGTCCACTTTTAGAAATAGTCCCTTGTAAGAATAATTCAGATCTCAAGCTTTTTCAAAAGTTTGTAGCAAAAATAAACAAGGTTTTGTTAATAAAAAAATTGACGCTACTTTTTATGGTACATATTAAGTTTACAAATTTCTTTTGTTCAGAGACTCACAATGAAATTTAATCTGGAATAATTCTTCCACTGACACTTTCCCCAAAAAAATAAATTACAAAGTGAGATTTTGACTCGGGTTAGATCAGTAAAAAAAAAAAAAAAAAAACAAGCAAATAATTTTAACTTTCATTATATAGATTTTGAATTTTTGTAGAATAGATCTTCTTTTGACATACTTGACCTAAAACGAAATTCTATGTAACATTCAGGCGTCTCTTGCAAGACAAAATTGATATAAAAAAATCATTTTCTTTTTTGAAGATACTGTTGCAATTAAATTTTTGGTATGAAGTGGAAATAGGGATTTCTGTTCTTTGGTGACTCATAGTAAAACTTTATGTTGAATATTTTCACCTTTGACATCATCCTTCTGAAATAGT